CAATGTTTATACCTGAGATGAGTATAACATAAACAATGGTTATACCTGACATGAACATAGCAAAGACAAGAGTTAGACCTGACAGGAGTGTATCAAAGAGAATGGTTAGACTACCTGACAGGTGTTTACAAATATGGCTATATGGCGCATGAGTACAGAAAAACAATGGTTAGACCTGACAGTGGTATAGTAAGGACAATGGTTAGACCTGAAAGGGATATAGTAAGGACAATAGTTAGACCTGACAGGGATATAGTAAGGACAATGTTTAGACCTGACAGGGGTATAGTAAAGACAATGGTTAGACCTGACAAGATGTATAGTAAAGGCAATGGTTGAACCTGGCAAGAGTAAAGAAAGACAATGTTTAGAAATGCCAGGAATATAGCAAAGACAATGGATATACATGGCATGGGTACTGCAGAGACAATGGTTGGACTAGCATTCATATAGCAAACAATGGTCAAACATGGCAGAAGCATAACAAAACATTTGTTGTACCTTGCAGGAGTAAGCTATCAGTATGTTTTCCCTGTCTCTTTTTATTTATATCAATAATTATTGAAGAGTGCATACATAAATAAAGTCTCACAGTGCCCAAGCTAGAAGCATAAACGTACACATGCAAGTAGGCATGCTTGAGACTTGGAATAAGTTTTCACTGCATCACTGAGAAAGGTAAGTTTCCCCAGATCATTGTCTATATCACAATAAAATGGTAGATTCCACCATTTATTCCACGGCACAATTTTTAAGCATGCTTTCATTCCTTGATCTTGTCTACCTTTCTGCCAGAGGTATAAAAACTGGTCTTTGATTGGTTCCTGTACAGCACGACCCTTTACAGTGTGTTATTAGAAGAGACTTTATGTGTCTTATGAATATGACATAAACAGGTATAGCTCATTTATGCATCACTGGTTCTATAAATAATGGCCATATATAGGACAGCATGCACAGTAACCGTCCTGTCTTCACAAGGTTAATTACCCTGTGTCTCTCTTTTCCTGCTCCCCTATCCTCTCCCTAGCATTACTTTTTATGTTCCCTCTTTAGAGCAGGTTCCAATCACCAGGTCCACGATGGGTAAAATAAATAAATAACTGTATGACGTGCTGAGCAGCAATAACCCCTAAAAGAGCACTATCAGTGGAACATGATTGATCAATTGAATTCCATAGCAGCTGAAAAATGTGGGATTAAGTAGTGTATTATACGCACAATGAGTTGAGGCATGATGTTCATTTCAAGTTCATTTCGCCGGCCCTCTGCCACCAGATCAGGCAATCAATAGGGCTAGCACATATCATATATCATCGCTCCCTGTGCAAGAGAGGGAGCACCATAATCTCTCGCAAATTTAGACTGACAGATTTGTCGAGATCTGAAAAGGCCCCCTGCATAAATAAAGCAGAAGAGGGAGGACAGCTCTGTGAGAGTAATCAAAGCGCACAAATACACATATACAGGATCAGACATTTGTCTATTGGGTCATGGCTCTTTTAAAAGCAGATCTTTTACTTTTAAATATGTGTTAAAACGGATGTGTGTAGCGGATGACTCTGCCTTTCCAAAGGACACTTCTCTTTAACCCAAGTAGGGAGTGTGCTTGTAAGATTCTGATGCCATTTTCAGGACTTAGAAGGGGCACCCCATGGGCATTCTTCTTTTGGATTCATTGCTTTATGAAAAACTTAATTTTGTTTTTGCTTTATTATGCGAGCATGGAATAAGCATAAGATGAACTGTTGGCATGTTTTCTTTTGTGTTATGTAAAAGTTGTCCTACATCTAGTGAGATCTTATAGCCTGTTTTCAGTCATAAAGAAAAATTGTCATCATTGACTTTTGACCACATTTGACCTTAAGTTTTCGTAAATAGGCACATCAAGTAACTGACTGTGTTTATTAATATCAATCCATTTTTATATGGCAAAATTTAGAATGTCCTCCAACTTTCATTTAAATATATCTTTAGGTTCACACACTTTGTCTTTGGCGAGAAGCTTAAAAAGACTTCAGGTTCAGCAAGGCATTGTAACAAGAGCTATACAGAAGAATTTCAGGTGTGTATCCTAAAGGGATTACATGCTGGGGCAAGATTTCAAGGAAATCTATACTGGGAGGAACATGATGGCTGCAATTGCTGACCTCCATCTGAATATGATAATTTTCTGGCTTTCACTTGCTTCAGAGCCTTGAGTCACTGTCCCAGAAACAAGTATGTATCATTCTAGGTCAGAATGAAATCAGAACTGAATGTTCTGGGTTTTAGATGTAGAATATATTGTAGTAGAGTGCCCATTTTTTCATTGTGCTCAGATGAAGACACATACCCCTTTAACTCCATATCCCACAACTCCCTAGGTTCCTAGACATGCTCATGGAAGTTAGCGCCTCAACTTCCCTCCCTCAGCAGCTCACAGAGGAAACATATGATGGGGCAGAGATAGGTGGGCTGCAGCCAAGTGAATGGCTCTCAATTATCAGATCAGATGTGTGAATACTCAGGCAGGAGCCTATTAGCACTCAGATTTTCCTGTAGACCCAGCTACTGTGGGGGGCCTCTCCCCAACTGCTACCACTGTACTCTAGTTGCATTGGGGTGGCCCTTTGTCTTTGTTGTCCTTGTTCACCATTGGTACCCTGGACTTCACTTAGAGGGATGCTGTTTATGAAAATATTCGCAGGTAGCTGTTTGTATTCAGAATTGTTTTACTGAACTAGTGATTCTCAGCTAGACTCTCTATAGGCTTATAGAGACAATGCTATGCAGCCACATGATACCTGGATTGCTTTATAAATAAATTGCTGTAATGAGTCCATGTTTTTGCAGCTTTCATAACTTGTTTTGTGTTATTCTGCAGTGTGTTCATGCTATTTGCCTTTCTGAACCCGTTTTGCATTTTTGTTTCTAACTTTGCACCTATTTAGTAAATCACAATGTATAGTTACTTCCATTCTGATCATTTGGCCATTTACTTATTCTGTTAAAAAAATATAGGCAGTAAAATAACTTGACAGCAATTAGCATTCTGAACAGAGAAAACAGCAATGACAAGCTCTTTATCTACCCAAGTAATGCTTTCATTTAAGATTGCCAGTTCCAAAACTGCTATAAACCCCAGGAACTTAAAAAAAAGTTATAATTTTTCTATACATTTCCTTCTTGTTGCTTATAAATTGCTCCAAAACTACAGGTGCACTTTAAAACATAACTTCAGGCAAACTAAGTACTTCCAATGAACTTGCAATTATAATTATCTATCCGTGGGATCCTGCCAGACAGCATAATCAGATTAGTGACAACATTTTTCTCCTCTCATGTTAAGCAATACAAATTGGACACCAACCTGCTCCCAGCCTGTGACCGAGCAAAGAAAGAGAAGAAAAACTCTGCTCTCTCCTCCAGTATGCATATTCAGAGTGTTACTTGACAGCAGTGGGCAAAGCATTAGATTGCTTGCAGTACCAAGCCTGTATATACCAGCCTGATTTTTGCTTTGTGTAAAAATGATGTTTTTGTTTATCTGCCTGGTGTTCAGTTTTAAGCAATGCATCCATAAGTACGTGGAACCGTATACATAACCATGATATCAGACTATGTAAATAGAAAATTAGATTAGAATGTGAAGTTAGATAACAAAAATGTTTCATGTATTATTTGCAGTATCGTAGCTAAATATTTCATAATGGAATAAAAAAAAAAGCAAGGACCATTTCGTCTAGCGTAAATGAACATGATGCTTTGTTACAGGGTCGGGCAAAATGCTGTGGACTTCTTCTAATCAATATCTGATATTTTACGTTAGCTTATGAAGGATACTGCTCCATGGTATATAATGTAATATTGATTATATCATATCCCACAATCACCTGCAAAGAATAAGATTTATCGGTCTTAATGTAATCTTCAGCAATATTCCCACTGGAAAAAACTGGGAGAGGACTAGTCCTGCAGATGAAATTTATACTATAAATTCTAATACGCTGCAGTACTTCCCATATTTTGCAGGAATAGTATTCCAAACTTGCAACAGACAGCCAAACCAATAAAATCCTAGATCTGATCAGTTAGTAGGTTGAAGTGTTAAATATAAGTCCACAGTTGATAGTGCCTTAAAAAAAGGTAGGAAAGATTGGAAGAGAGGGGCAATGGATGTGCCAGGAATGGCTAACATTCCAAAGACAGAGGCTTTTTGCATATCGTACCATGGTGATATCATTATATCCTGGGGTAGTAAAATGGATAAAACCAAATAATAATAAAAATCACAGTGTGGGTATATAGCTGAAAGGCCATCTTAAAACAAAATCCCACCTAAAGCAGTTATCTTGATTTAGGATTTGGTTTAAACCCTAGCTGAACTACTTGCATAATCAACTTGCATGTTTTCCAAGGGAAAACCTACTAAATATATAATTTCTGTGCCTTGTCCCCTCTAGTGGCTTTGCCATATATGAAATATATTGTGGACTAGGCTTACAAAGCCATGCTAGAGGTAGAGGAGATTTCCTTTCTAGGCTTCCAGGCAGAGGTGGACACTACATCCATATCAAAAATATGTTTGGAATAGAGTGGCTCTTTTTTAAAATACTTCTTGTATAGCTGCCTAAAATCTTTACATTTACCTCCTATAGTTGGAGTGGGAGAGTATTTCAGACTTTGTTTTGCATTGAACATTGTTGCCATACCAACATGTTTCAAGAAGTAGTTACTGAAGAGCAAGGCTGTAGGCATCATACAGAAGGATAGTGGGCAAGGCTGGAGGCAGGTAGCTGATACGGGAAGCTGCAGAGCTGCAGGCTATGTAATATATGTTGTAGCAGGGGTGTGGAAAGAGCTGAACAACATTGCAGATTTTTTGGTAAATTGCTAATATAGTGCACCTGTGCATTATAATGATGCACTGTTTAGCTTTGATGTTGCTTATATGTAGAATTGCTATGCTTAGGATAGGACTTTTCTGACTGTGGTGCTGCTGTTTCTTTTTCCCACAGATGGATCTGATGGCTCTGGGCCAAATGGAGATTCTCAAAGTAGTGTTGAGAGCTTACGGAAACATTTACGTGCAGACAACTTTACCCAGCAACAGTTGGAAGCATTAGATCGAGTTTTTGAACGCCCGTCTTATCCTGACGTGTTTCAAACTTCAGAACATATTAAATCGGAACAGGTAACTAGACAGACAGAAGAGACCTATATGATGCCACAAATATATGCCTGGGCGTATTGTTAACATTGGGGAAAATGTAGTGGTAAACTAAGGTATGGCAACTGATTTGACAGAATGAAGAAAGTTGATTTTTTTTATTGATTGCTCTTAGAAATTGCACATATGTAATATGTAATAGCAATAACCAAGGCATAAACGTTCTGCCCATAAACAGAAAGTGTGGCAATCCAGAGGGAAAAAGGACTCTCCATTACTAAATTGCTTTATCTTTTAATGGAACAATAGCAAATAGGGTGTGTCTTTCAACTTCCTCAGTTGATGTTCTCCCCAAAAGTGCTTCATTGGTAGGCATCTTCCTACTCTCATAGATATAGATCATTACCTTTTTTGTCTAACTCACAGCTGTGGAGAGTCTACTCAGCAAAAGACAATTATTCTTCACATGTGTTTGCAAAACTTCCTAGAGATATGTTCACAACAGATACAACACGTTTCTTCTCAATAGAAACTCTCTTTTTAAAATTCTGCTTTATGGTAATAGTCAGGGCCTGGTGTAAGCAGGACACCATGTGGTGGTAATACTCTGTGGCTCTAGGAGCCTCTGATATGTTACTGAAATAAAAGTAATCATGAAAGCTGCACATACAGTAAGTATATTTGTTCTTTGTCTATCTCCCCCCACAACCAGCCTCAGCTTCATCTTAAAGGTTGTTTATCTTAATAGAACATGAAATGCAAAAAAACATCTTTAGAAAATGCCCAAAACTATAACACATGAAATAAAGAGAAGCCTTGCCTGAGAGTAGATATTTTCTTCTCTCAGAGTCCCTGAGTTTATTACAATGGATAACCTTTATTTACTTTCATTAGACTATTAAACGCCAGCACAGTCATTTTTTTCCCCCTGAAACTTAAAACAGGGGCCATAAAGCAAATCTAAAGCCTAATTGAGTTCATTTTAATTTCTCTCCGATCACAGCGAATTACTCCGGTGATAAATCAGGGGGCAGCTTCACCCCCAGTAGAAGGCCTAATTTGCAGCTAATTACGAAACTGATTTCAACAGGAAGATCAATACGAAAAGGAATTGGAAATGACTAGGCTGTGGCGTCCAGACATAGAGGTGGGGGTGTAGATGAAGAAAACGGGGCTAGAAAGAGCAGAAAATCAGTTTTAATTTAATGTAATATTAATCAGAGAGAGGTTTTTTCTCCCTTTTTTTGTTCCCCCTGTTTATTATCCCACTGAAAAGGCAGCTGTAGAAAGCAAGGTCTGCTCCCTGAGAAAACCATAATAAGAAGGCAATTACTAGATTGTTTTGGACAGAACACCCTTTCAAATTCAATGACTCCCCCTCCCACCCTTCTGTTGGCCATGTGCTCTGGCCCACTCCCCAATTTCATACCCCACTGCACAGGAAGAGGGAGAAGAGACCAGGGTGATGGGGGAGTGGTCCTTCCTTTGTATTTAATGAAGCACATCATTCAGAAAATCAAATGTTGGTGATTTAGGACGACAGGTGACTTTTTTTTATTTCCTATTTGTATTACCAAGTAAACCTGTGAGTTACAAAAGCATGACACAACTTTCTACTAGTTTTTCTAAAATGTATATCTAAATAGAATACATTTTCAAGTAACAAAGCTCCATGCTAATTATATTTTTATTATGGTGTTCTGGAATATTTTTAGACAATGTTTTGAAGACTTCCAACTGTGTTTAAACTGCAGAGACCTAAATGGCACCAAAAAGTAAAGCCATTATGGGATGCTGCATAAATGTTGTGTTATGGTAGTGTGTTGGCGTAGCTGGGCATATTTGCTTCAGGCAGATGATAAGTACGCATAGGTCTAAGTACTAGGAATACTGGCTTACATGTGACATCTGATGAATCTTTACATAGTTGCAGTTTTGCTGTGTACATTAAGCAACTAGCAATTTGTTAAGATGAAATTTTAGGTCTTTCTTAGCCATAGTGTACCATAATGGGGCTTTCACAACAGGAAAATAAATACTTCACATACTTGAAAAATGTTTATCTCTTTTAGCTACAAGTGCATATTATTATCTCCCAGGATGTTCACTAAGTTCTATCATATTCTTTACTTAACACTAGGCAAATGAATACTCCCTTCCAGCACTAACCCCTGGCTTGGATGAAGTGAAGTCTAGTTTATCAGCCTCTGGTAATGCAGACCTGGGTAGCAATGTATCAGGACCTCAGTCCTACCCAGTGGTAACAGGTAAGCTGAGATTATTTAAATACAACATAATTTACTTACAGCATTTACTAACTTGTGAACCAGTGAGAATGTTACTGCATAAAGAACTTAATGGAAATTCAACACTAATGGATCTCAATAAAACTGACAGCAGCTAAGATTGAACATGCAGACACAAATCACATTGATGTACTATGTTGATTCTGTAAGCATTCAAGGGAAAATGTACAGTCATGCTCAAAAAATATCACAAAGTGAAGTTGAAAGACTTTACTTGATCAGCTTCAAAAGTAGAGGCGGACTCACACAATGACCACACCTTCTAACAAGAGTCAGATTTGCTATGTACCTTGCAAGAGCCAATCAAATGGCATACTAATTAGCAAGCCCTTCAATTACATAGCATGACTTAAAAGCCACAGGAAGCACAAACAGTGGGGAAATCCACCGACCTCTTGCATATTGCCAAATTGTATTCTGTTAAGACCTATTCAACTCTTTGCTGTTATTGTTTGCTTCATTTTCTGAAACCACATATTTTGAAAAAGTAAATGTTTCCATATAAGTAAATGTGTATGTGACTTTACATTTTCACTCTCTAATGGTCCTTGTTTGTAATAATGTATCAAGTATAAAGGATTGTAGGTTAGCCACTAGAGGGAGTTTTTAATTGCAGTCAACTGTTGAGGTATCAGCCACATAGATTCACTCAGAATCTTGTGCACTTCTGCAAAGAAACCAATCAGCTTACAGGTTTTATTGCTAAAGCTTAATTGAACAAGCTGAGGTTAGAAGCTGAATGGCTACCATGCAGGAGATTCTGAGTGAACAAGCTTTAGGAACTAAACCCCAGTGTGTTCATCCTTTTTAGTCAATCAGACCTGTTTATAAAATGAATTGAAAGAGATTATCAGTAAAGCTGGGTACACACTTGAAGTTTTTTTTCGTTCAACCCAGCAGGCTGAACAAAAAAACAAACCCTGAGAGATCGCTGTACTAACACAGGCGATGTTGGTGCAGCAGTCTCCCGATCCCCGCCTTCCCCCTGTGCTATTGTATTTTCCCTGCCAGAACACACTGATCAGTGCTTGTAGCCACTGGACGCAGGACAGATGCTGGTTTTCCAGCATGCCCATTTGACAGAAACCGGTTGTGAGACCGGCTTTTGCAGAACAGACAGCTGCACACCCAGGCCGAAAGTCACCCAGTTCCTGTCAAACCAACCAATTTCAGACGATTTTTGGCCCATGTGAACAAGGCTTAATGCACTTTGTGCATCACTGTAAAACAGGAAAGAAAGTCTGCTTATGGAATAGGCAAACAAGACCAAAAACTTTAACTAGCACTGATAAGATTATTGATTATTAATAATTTCCATAATACTCTGCACTGTTACATGTAAATAAAATGTTCAAAAAATGAAAGCTCCCCTTTAATGTCTATTTATCACACATAAAAAGTAGAAGAACAGTAGTGTAGACTGAAAAAATACCCCTTCCTATTTCTTAATTAATTGATAGAATTGTATTTTCTGACATATTGGTCCAACTCACAAAATGGCCAACTCTTTATAACTAGAAAAATGCAGTAGAAAAACAAAATATGAAAATGTTTGTAAGTGGACCTAGCATGAGTTGATATTTATGGATAAAAAGGGTAAATAATGGCTAGCTAAAGCTTCATTAAGTTGTAACACATTGAGGCTGTTTTACTAAAGAAATAAAGAATATTCACACAACAAAGAGCAAAGATTCACCAGTCATGTGAAAAGCAAATTCTTGTTTACATATTACATCTGCACATGATTAGACCGAAGTAAATCTCTTTTTTTTTTTTTTAAATTCATCAGTATAGAATATCATCTTCAACATTTTATTGCATCCAGTGCTGCAGTTTTTGTACACCTAATTTTTATATACTGTATTTACTATATTGGAATGGATGGCAATGGAAATTTCTTTTAGATTAGTGAATAGGGTGAAGCTCTGCTGACTTCCATCATCCAATTGTGTGCCAGCAATAATACATTTTTGTTTTTTAATTTCCTGATGGGGTATTCTTTGCAAAGTGAAAAATCATTTAGTAAACTATGGTAATATTCCCTTGCAAAGTTAACAGCCTATTTGTTTTTTTTTAAATCAACCCCAAAAACTTTTCATGCTGCATATCTTACATCATTTCTTTTGTAGATTAGACAGCAATCGTAGAATGATACAGAATATAATGCTTCCAACATTGAGGCAGCATCAAAATTAGATCCTAATGTAACACAGGAAGACAAACGGTTAAACATTGTATACAGAGCAATGTCATAATTGTAAATACAAGTGTATAAAATCTGACTTTGCACCTTTTAAAAAATTCTACCCAGTAATAAATCAGTCGGGCTTAACCCACGCTTGTCCAGCCATTGGGTCCATATTTTTTTTCAAGTTTGCTCTCTATGGCACTCTCTATGCTAATAAAGCGCTCTAATCCAAGAATATCTCCTATATGTTGTACCCATTCTTTAAGTGTGGGTGTGCTGACTTCCAGTGGAGTAAAATTAACTCACATGCTTGAAACAACGTCCTAGCAATAGCTTGCCTTGGAGACTCCTGGAGGTCAGCAAAAATCCCTAACAAATATTGTTTAGGGTCTTCCCTAATATGATCTGGAATACCTTATAAATGGCATTGATGACCTCCATCCAGTATGCTGTATGTGCAGTTTGGGACATCTCCATAATAGGTGAATCAGTTCGCTATGATCTGTGCGACATCTAGATTACAAGGAATCATCCAACACACCCTATTAAACAACCTCAGAGGAGTGTAATAGACCTGTGAAAGGAGATATAGTTGTGAAAGTCTTTGAGAGATGTTAAGCAAATATAACTGTACCGCCTGTATGGCTTCCTCCCAATGTTCCCCTTCAAAAGTCGCTACCTACTTCTTCCAGTGGTTTACTGTAGGTGAACAATAAGAGCAGAAAAATGTCTATGGTGTATAAATGGACTTCTAAAACTGGAAGCAAAATCCAAAACTGTGCCTACCCAACTGATATTTTATAATTTTACAAACAATGGTGAAATAATGATGTTGCTTTAAGAAGTAGCAAATATTCACAGTTGAATATTCTCTTAGTGAATATGGTGAAAATATTTACTACATAATGGCCTCTGAATGGTTGCCATGGATACTTTATTTTGAGGCATGTATCAAGGATTTATTAATTGCCCTGAACACAAGTCATATTGTCTAGTTAGTTAGACATATACAGTATATCTGCATGTGATTTACAAAATCCTTAGACCTATTGATCTTTTGCTGTGGCTTAAGCATAGTAAAGCCTTCTAAAACAGAAGATATAATCATATCTTAATTTTACCACAAATCCTACATCTTCTACCCTCATTTAGGGTAGTGGGCAGAGCCATTCAAATAGCCAAGAGACAATGAAGAATGAGTTGCACAGCTTCATATACTGTCCATAAATGAATGTGCATTGCTTTTTGGATGTGTGATGGAAAGTGCACATGCAGATATCTTCTGTATTATGAAGTCTCTTCTGGACTTTGCTTTGTTTTAGTGGAGGGCTTTTTTGGTTCCTTTCAGTCCATCTCACAATAACCTAATGTGAATTAGGAAATATTGGATTCTAACAATTCTTAAGACTTTAAAACTTAGAAAGCTCATTAAATATAAAAAACTTGAAGCCTGCTAATATACAAATTAGTATTGTATAATTGAATTTGCTGTCTGCTGGTGATCTGCGTAGGGCAGAAAAAATATCTTAACAACACAGTTTTATGTTTTGAATGAGATCTTTCAGTTTTGCCAAGATGGCTCAAAAAATATTGTGATATTTCTTTGCCATGTGTGCTGTTAAGGCTGGCATGTCTACCGAGGCAGGAAGCATGTTGTGGTGGGCCTTTTTAAGATGGAACAGTATATTATATGAGTAGCGATAACTGGGATGTTATTATGTGCTACAGTTCAGCAGTAGGTCATGATCCATTGATAAAAAGGGTAAGGCGAATCACCCAAGGTCACCATTCCCTATATATTTGTTTAAGCTGTGCTGCTTCTTTTCAAAAAGCAGATGTGCATTTTTGCAATGTGAATCAACATTAAGCGTACAGTGGAGTTAAAAAAAAAAGGTGTTTTACTGCACCCACCTTTATTTTCAATAACCTTTCCTCATCAGGTAGTTCTCTTATTTCTTCTCAATGTCATCAAGGTGCCTATGCCTGATCCATTCTTAGCCCAAGTGTGGGAAATTTTCATTGCAGGCTCAGCATGACACTCCCAGGTGGAAACTTAACACTAACATGTTCATCCGCATGCAGGATTTCAATCAGCAAATAGAAAAGCGCAGAAAACACTCATTAGCACTCAGTGCTGTTTACCCACAGTAATGAAGGTAAACATTTTAAAGGACAGATTAAGGAAAAAGCTTGAGAAGTGGGGACTTATTTTACTGCACTTAGGCTATGCTCCAGTTTTTGGAATAATGGTGTCATTAGGCAAAAAAGGTTGCAGATCATGCTTAATCTTAAAGTGTTTTTCTTTATTTTTTTACGAGTAATTAAAAGCTTGGCGTTATTGATCATTGTTGATTTTATGTCCTTCTATTTGCATAATCTATTAAAGATGAATGATTCATGAAGTGATTATTATAGGGAAGGGAAGTACAGGCGTTCCAGATAGTTTTGTCAAGGTGAGAGATGCTTTCATTTTTTTGCTATTAGTGGATAATCTAATTAAGTATCCTGAACGCAAATATACTATAAGCTTGGACTAGAGGCTGTCTTTAAAGCCAACGCCGCCAATGCCTTTTTATGTTTGCTGGGTTTTTTTTGTGCTTTGCCTTCTCCAGAATCATTTTTCCAACTTCAATCGTTTTATTTGACAAAATAATTTAAAATGTGCAGATTCAATAAGAGCTGCCAGCAGGAAATAACATAATAATATAATTTGGTAAATTCAACTGCCTTGTTAAAGAGCTCTTGGTGTCTTTTCTGTCCTGCAAAATCCATT